GTCCTCGCTCTCACAGGGAGTAAGAGAGATCCGTGGGGTATGGGACAGCAACGACCCTTCTGTTCCATCCGTCCCCAGGGTTACTATGACGTGTGTGTCCTTTTATATTCTAATTATGCTCATTTTTTAGTTATGTAGCCATTCATAATATTGCTTTATAGCTGTTATCCTATGGGGCTAAAAGGTGTTAGAAATTATTATAACAAGTTACTGCCCAAGCTTGGGTTTATCCAATAAGCAAATTGCAACACAACATCTTCAGGTTTAAAATTAACATTACCCCGCCTAAATCCAGCCCCTTCAAACTCTCTGACTATGCTTTTTTGAGATGTTCTTTTTTTAAATGTACTGGATAAGCTGGGCAGTTGAATCCAGTTTTTATCATCATCAAGGCTAAATTCTGAGCGAGAAAGAACTATTAGGTCAGCTAATTTCACAGCTAGAGCTTTGTCTTTGAGGCCTAGTCAGTTCCACAAACAGTTACAAGTTACATTTGCGGGTTACAAAAATACAAGCTTCATATTAGACAAAAGTTCCAAATGCCTCCAAGACACGCATATTTATTGCTTATTAATTTTTTTGGTTCTGGCCATCACAATGCCCTACATAAAAAAGTCCATAAATAAACTGAATATCTCTAGTGTTTTTGTATCTCTCATATTTTGTCCTGAAATATGTTAGAAGTGGCTCTTTTAAAAGTCTTAGGAATAAGCATAATGTAGTTCTACATGGGCGTTATGGCTGCCCTAATAAAAATAGTGCTAGCACCTTTTAAATGTTACAAATCTTTCAAGCTTTCTCAGTCAATAATTCAGGCTTCTGCCGTGTCGCATATTTCTACTGCCCCACACTCCATACTTTCATCTTCACAACTCCAGCAATATGATAGTAAAATTTCAAGTTTGTTAAAAGAGATAATCTCAGGCTGTGAAATTTGGATCTAGTTCCAAGGTATTTAAACTTGTCAGGACATCCATATCTGAGGATTTTGTCAGCCCACTTTAGAGAGGCCAGATGCAAAAACCAAATTTGGCCCCAAGCTTCTAACACAGAGTTGCTTTCTGTTTTCCCTCTTCTACCCTTTTTGCCCTCTCAGTCTATTAATTGCAATCACTCTATGCTGCCGAATGCAAAAGTGAGGATAGTTTACACAAACTTAGGCACAATCTGTTTATTGGTTAGAAAATAAATACAATTTCACTGTTTATGTCACTACTCAGTTTGGCCCAGAGATTTAGTAGGGAAGTGGTACATGTGCCTATGACAGGCACATGTTGGACCCCTCTGTATGATATCTGAGTGTGGCGCTGTACTTGTTTCTGGAGCTTTGTGGGGTTACTGACACACATCATTGCTTGAAGTATGTCTTAGCAATGTCAACAAATAGGGACTTATTCTCCCTTGTTTTATACCCACCTTGATCATTTGAGGAAAATCAACTAACCTAAGCATGTAAGTGTGTATACAGTATATAGGCAAACCCACACACACAGGGTGTAAAGCAGACCTAATAACTTACACCCATTCAGAATAACAAGCAGATAAGAAATAGCCTTGATTCAAGCCTTCTCCATGTGGGCTGTGACATTTTTCTTGGCAATAACTACTCTCCTTCAGGTTTCTTCCAACATTTGCTGAAGTGATAAAACTTGAGAACTACATTTTCATTTGTTTCTCTTTCTAATATTGTTCCAGGCAAGACCTGAAGATACTTTAGATCTGTGCCAATTATTAAATAATGACTTAGCCGCCACAGTAAAAAAGTACCCCAAGCGGTTTATTGGCCTTGGCACATTACCCATGCAAACTCCAGACCTGGCTGTGAAGGAAATGTATAGGTGTGTGAATGAGCTTGGCTTTCCAGGGGTACAGATAGGATCCCATGTCAATGAATGGGACCTGAATGCACCAGAATTGTACAACGTCTATGCCGTGAGTAAATATGTCTATCTATATTCCAGGGGATTTTATGATTTGGAATTGTGAAGTAATCAAGATGCTGGGACAAGTTCAGCTACCAGTTACACCAGTCAATATCCAATGACTTCAACAGAGATCATCTAAATTTACACTAGCGTAACTGAGGGCAAACTGTTCCAATAAGACTGCCTAGTGTAGCTGATGTTTTTCTGTGCAATAAAGATCATTAACTATCGATTCCCATTAAATAGTTCTAGCCACTGGAAAATACAGTAAGGGCGCATCTACACACCATCCTATGGTGATGTAATGTTGCGTTACGTTGCCATACAGCATGCTACAGTGACTTAGCAAGCACGTGGGTCTACACGTGATTACCAGCTATGTCACGGTAGTGGCACGCTCCCTGGTTATAGCACACTACATAGCAGTGAAATCTAAGTGTGCACTGTGCACACAGCGCAGTAACCACCCATACTGTGCCATGCTTTAGTACTTGCTAAAGGAAGTGCCATACTTTCTTTTCCTAAAGAAGGTACTAAAGCATGGCAATGTGTAGACACGCCCTAAATGATGTGGTTACAAAAAAAGAAAATGTTACATTTTTCCAAAAGCAATGATGATACATGGGCATTGTTCATGGATTGCCAGATCAAGCCCTATTAATGTTAGGGTCTTCCATTTTGAACCCTAGTCAGTGCACCATATGTCCCGATCCCACCAGCCTGACTAATCCAGGAATAGAGACACATAGTTAGCTGTGTTAGTCTGAAGTCAAATAAAATAGATGACAAGGGAGATTTACACCTTATAAACAGTGGTGCTCAACCTTCTGCAGTCCAGATGAGAGGCATAGGGCTGGTCTGCACCCCAGATTGGGCCTGTATGCCAGGATCAGACTCTGTGCTGCCTTTTCCAAGCCCACATGCATGGATTGGGCTCCCAGACCCCCACCACCCTATCTGACCGCCTGCATGGTAGGATCAAACCCTACTCAGCCCCCTTGCACCAGGATCAGCTCCCAGTCCCACATTTCATCACTTCCCTACCACCAATGTTTTGAACCCATGAGGAGCACCACAAGGTGGATGACAGCACTGGGGGCCAGATCTGGCCCGCAGACCAGGGGATGAGCACCTGTTATAGACTAAACAGAGTAGATATATATACATAGAAAAAACAGGCTTTCATGGGCTGAGGCTCACTTCATCAGATGCTGTGAAAGGACACTCACAAAGAGTATATAAGGAGGAGAGAGAAATTTGATTACAAAAGACAGAAAATGGGGAGAGAGGGAAGAGTATGGCCAGTGCTGGGAGAGGCAGACAAGCAAGCAATAAACCCATGTGAACTAGGAGTCACAAGACTAATAGTCCTGTCCTTGGCATAGACCCCTGTAGAAAAGTCAAAACTGACTAAGGTACTTAAGAAAACACATGTGAAAGGATAAAAAAAAACTTGGGTGGACTTCACCATACGGTGCACAGGACGTGGGAGGGCGCCATCTTTGAGCATGGCAACAGTTGTTCTTTGGTGACTGGTATGTCCTCTTCTAAGTATGGTACAAAGGTAATCTTGGTGTCTAACCCAGTGTTTTCAAGGTCAAACAATCTAATAAAGATGTTTCCAGTGTCATAGTGACAAAAGAAAGCGGGGTTTGCAATTCTCTCAAGACAAATTATCTCAACTTTACATCCTAGTTTCATAGTTTCATAGTTTCTAGGGTCGGAAGGG